CTATTTGGTTGGGGGTTATTCCCCATTATTGAGGTAATATCATCCTATATTACTTACATTACTATGTTTGATTAACAAGTGATATAAGATTCTGATAATCTTTCAAAACCAATAGTAATTACTGTTGGTTATATTGGTGGTAATCTAAATACCATCATTTTCTTAGGTAATTTAAGATTACTTGCTAATCTTAATTTTGTTACAATTTTACCTCCAAGGGTGCATTTTGATCAAGGTAATATAAGATAATGGGGGTAATCTTTGTTTATTTTGCAAAATTCTATTGTTTGCTTTGCAAGTAATAAAATATTACGAGTATCTTTTATTGCAAATAGTGTTTACTGTCAGTAATGTAGGGGGTAATAATATACCCTCCCTCAGAGCTGTTATTAAAAGATTACCAAGTAATCTGATTTTTATACCAAATAACCATTAGCTAGCCCCCCATATTTGAGAATTTGGCTAAAACACCCCAGCTACAAAAAAATTTAAAAGTTAACAAAACACCCCCAGTCACCCAAGACCACCGCTAGCCACCATCGTCGGTCGCTGGCGTCGGTCATTGTAATGGTGCACGATCAACAGGATCTAGCCGGCCATGCACCGGTAAGGCCTTTTTTGACAGTGGATCTGTGATCCATGGCTAGAAACGGCCAGATCTAGTTGTTTTTATGCCCGTTTCACGACTGATGTTTCACGACTATGGATCACAAATCCATGGTAAGAATGGCTTTTTTGGGGCATGGTCGGCCATATATGGTTAGTCGTGCGCCATTCTATCAACTTCCGTTGGCAGTCGGCGGCAGTGGCTGGCTGCTCGCAAGGGCTTGGGGTGGGTTGGGGTGATTTTGCTACAAATTAAAGTTGTATATAACTATGGTGTTTTAGCAAAATTTCAAATGTAGTTTAGCCTTTTCACGACCATAGATCTGGTCATGAAATGGCCATGGATTTGTGATCCATGGCCGAAAATGACTTTTTCGGTGGACGGTCGGCCATATACGGCCAGTCGTGAGCCATTTTGTCGATTTTCGGTGGCGACTGGCTGCCGGCAGTGACTTGGGGTGGGTTGGAGTGATTTTGCTACAAATTAAAGTTTTATATGACTGGGGTGCTTTAGTAAAATTTCAAATGTAAGGGGTTAAAAGAAATGATTCAAATAATAATAATAATAATAATAAATATTAATATTTAAAAATGAGGTCAATTTAGAAATCTATATAACATAGTCACAGATTTATTCTCCCAACCAAACATATTACTCAATTTATTCGAACCAACCAAACACATTTTCTAAACATTCCAAGTAATCTTCAAGGTGATCTATCTTTCCATTAATATAATATCCCCCTATAATAAAACATTATATAATCCAAACGTCCCCTAACTATTAAAATTTTGAACAATAATGCCCTTATTTTTAAAACAATACAAAATATTAATGGACTATTTTATCCTTATATACAAAATATTTAGGACATAAATACACTTGAACTTAAAAAAAATTACCTAAGACTGGTGGCCAAATTTGGTCACCATCACCAGCGGCCAGTCGCCGCCAGCCACCACCACTGGCTCCAAAATGGTGCACGGCTACGGCCAGCCGTGCGATGATCTAGCCATTTCCAACTAGATCCAGAAATTTGGCCGCAAATGGCCAGAACTAATCTAGTTGTTTTCGGCCAGATCAACGAATTTGGCCAGAAATCCATGGCCAAAATGGCACACGGCCAGTCAGATCCAAGCAATTGTGTGCTGTTCCAACCACAACTTCCATCGACCGACAATGGCTTGGGTGGTTGGGGTCTTTTGTTAATTTTAAAATTTTATTATGGGGGTGTTTTAGCTAAATTCTCAAAGGTGGGGAGTTAAAATTAATAATCTAAATAATAATAATGAATAATAATATATTAAAATAGAAGGGCAATTCAATAATCTAAATAATATTCCCACCAGTTTATTCCTCCCAACCAAACATATCAATGTAACATACCCACCAATTTATTCAAATATAACCAAACGCATTTCTCTAAATATTCCTAGTAATCTTATTACTTTTTATTTAACTATTAATTCTACATTTAGCTTTTTGGAAATAACAAACTTATTTTTAAAACAACTAACTCTTTTAAGTAACAAAATTATAATATAATTCTAGTAATTAAATTAATACAATTTAAATGATCGAGATTTAATTTAATTTGCCCATTCAATATAATTTACACATTTAATACCTTCTAAAAATGACATAATTCAAATGCATTGTATCCAATTTGTATAAAATATTTATCATTCTTAATTTTAATATTTGATTTTTAATTTCTTTAATTAGTTATTATTCGAAATATTGTTCTTTTCAAATTATGTATAGTTAGTATGACTTTAGTGGATGAATATATAGATAATATAATATTTGATAAACTTTATTTATATTATATAAATAACGCAATGGATATGGTGTAATAGAAATATTCCTCTTGGGACTTTTTAAAAGAATTTTATTGATTTTTCTTTTTCTTTTAAAGAAAAAAAATTGACAATATCAAAACAAGTAATTATAGATTTAATTATTTCTCACATTTTAATTACACAATAAAATAATTATTTTAATTAAGTGTAGTAAATAATAAAAATATATATTGTAATATTTATAATAATTTAAATTATAATTATGCCTAAAAATAATTATTTTAAAATCTACTATACTAATAATATTAAACACCTATAATTATTTAATAATATAAGGGATTAATATTAAAAGTGATTGGGGTGGGAAAACACAAATCACTCATATCCTACCCAAATCAACCTAATGTTGGATTCAACTAATGGGTTTGCACAAGATGGTGAAAAGATCAACCGAGAGATGGTCCCTACCTTTGCACAAGAAAAGGCAGCAAGAGGCTAAGCTGCATCCTGCCCATTGTTGCATAAATTTTGAGTGAACAAGCCCTTTGTTGAAAACGAAAAGACCCCTACTTTGAGGGTTCCTGCAAGTGGGAGATTATTAAAGTAGTTGCCCTACAACCAATCATATTTGACTCTTCATAATATCAAATAAAGGCATTTCTTTATATCATGTAAATCATATCGTTGTATGTTTTGATATATGTCCTTAGAGTGGTAGAACCGTGACGAGGGAATCAAGTGCTATAAATCTTGATTGTGAGGACCTTATGATCACATATGATGGCCATTCTAGAAATGTTCATAGCCCTAATGTTATTCTAACCTAGGGCACAAATAATACAGTAAGACTATCATAGCGTTGAACAACTCTACGGAAAGGTAGTGACAGATCTCACATGTCAAGGTTGTTTGGTGACAACCTAGTGCAATGTGTGAGTATTTGTTGTTTGTAAGTTCACTAGACTGACCCACCAAAGGATTCCATATGGATGGTAACCCTAGTGTCTATGGAACAAATCCTCTAACGGATGGTGGTGCATGTGATCCTTAGACTTGAGATCATTGGAGTGTCTTGTGTAGCTATTGGTGTAGTTTGACATTAGCCTAACATAGTCTTATTTAGTGATATCAATACGGTTGTGATTGGCTGCAATGAGAAGTATATTGAGGTCATGGTAGATTAATATAAAATTCATCACTCCTAGGTATAGCAGAGAGTTATCCCATTGTACAATTTGGTTAAGTGGACACGACACATAAATCTATGCAAGTGATTTCTTAGCTTGTTTCTATCCCAATTCCAATGATAGGGAGTTGGAATATNACATAACCTGATAATTATGATGGAGTTAGAGCCCTAGGATTCTTTGTAAATATTTAGATTTAAGTTTTCTTTAATGTCATTTATATGTTTTCTTTATTTCATTCTTGTTATGCTCATCAAGGCATAGTTACTAGGTCATAAGAGCATCTCCAGTCTCTGTGGGATTGACCCTTATTCGTGCACTATGCTATGATTGTGACTCGTGCACTTGTGAAGAATTAAACTTTGTATCTGTCACTAGGGCACAGATAATACAGTAAGGCTATCATAGCGTTGAACGACCCTACCAAAAAGTAGTGACAGATCTCACATGTCAAAGTTGTTTGGTGACAACTTGGTGCAACGCATGGGTGCTTGTTGTTTGTAAGTTCACTAGATTGACCCACCAAAGGATTTCATATGGATGGTAACCCTAGTGTCTATGGAACAAATCCTCTAATGGATGGTGGTGCATGTGATCCTTAGACTTGAGATCACTAAAGAGTCTTGTGTACTATTGGTGTAGTTTGACACTAACTGTAATAACTTTTTTTCTACTAGTATACTTAGAACATATACTATGAAAAATATACATACTTAATAAATGAAAAGCAGTTCGGCCCAAAATTTTTCTTTACTTAACATATATTATTCTGTACATAGCAAAACCGCATGTATAAAAGCTTTTACAACGGTGGATAGTCATGCCATTTCTCTCTGTTTGCCAACGTCCATCCAACCACTTCTCACCTATTTCCTGCAAAACATGGAAAAACAACGAGGTGAGCACAAAAATGCTCAATAATTAAATCCTCTACTTCTCTATCCCCACAACTTATACTTTGGTTCTTTCCTTACTCTATTCTTTTCTTCTTCATTCTTTCTTTGCTCTTTCTTTGTTTCTAGTTTTCACTATTCTTTCCTTTCTTTCTAATTCTCTCTATTCTTTCTTTCTATTCTTTCTTTCTTGCTATTCTTTCTTTCTATTCTTAGTCTCACTAACCATGCTGGAAATCATGGTAACATGCATGAATGAAATGCATATGTGATAATCTGTGGATTATACAATTTTCATTAGACTTTTTAATCGGATTTCAGGTACTTTCTAGTGCATTTTGACCTAAATTGTTGCTTAATTCTTTACATTTCGTGTTTCAGGTTAAAATGGACATTTTGAGCTCACTGTTCATAATTTCATACTTCAATAATTATCCAATAAAAGACTTGAGATCACACCTCCAGTTTCTTCGAGGACCAGGATTCTCTCCTAATCCGGCTCCGATCTGAGCTACTGCAAACCATAGAGGACTCGTATGCCTTGAATATCATCCGCAGTGAGCTCTCTTTTTATCTTCCCATACTCAAAACTATCATACATAATTGCATCTGGCTTGCCCAGTTCATGATCAAGCCCTAATAAGTGTCCTATTTCATGCACAGCAACCGATTCCAAATCTACCTTATTAACTGTAGGATTGATGCTCCACATTTCATACGCATCAAAATGGCAGTTACCCCCTGTTGGTGGATTTGCATGCGCCAGAGTTTTAAACATTCCATCAAAATCATCGGAGTCTCCATGGGGACCGCGGTGAAAGCCGATCACGATATTTGCATTCGAATTAGCTGGGACTTCCTGGAAAGTGAAATGGCTGACTTGAGCCCATCTTTGGAAAGCTTGTTGAATGACAGACCTCAAGTTTAGTGAGATAGGAACTGGCACGCTAGAAGCGAAGCGATATTTGAGTTGAGATTGGGTCCATTTACTTGGTCCTGGGAAGAATTTATAATGACCAACTGTGTGGAAACTAGAGTTGTGATTGTGTTTGTGGTGGTTTTGGTTTGTGTCATTCACAAAATCTGGCACCCCGCATCTTGGTTTCATCATTTGATTCAGTGTGTTAGAATCCAGGGTTCCAGTGACATTCAAATGATGATTTTGCTGGCATTTTTTGACGGCAGACTCCAAAAGGTCATCAAACTCATCATCGTTTTCATGGTTTTTGTGGCTTGAATTAAGATCATCATAATTCAAGTATCCGAATTTCCCAAGATATCGTTTAATATTATGCAGGTCACTAATATTCTGACCCTTATGGCATCCCTCCAGGTGTTGAATGAATCCGAAAGGGTTACCACTACCAGTTGATTCAGAATGAATATTGGTAGGCATTGACATAGCGATAAGAAGGAAAAATAAGCCAAAAAGGAAGGAACTTCTAGAGGCCATTACTCTAATTCTCATCTTAATCATGAAAGAAATTAATTAAGGGTTTATTTGTGTGTTTCCTCGATCTCTCGCCAAGCTTATATATATACATTTTTCATTCATGAAAAGTTGCCTTCCAAAATCTACATGGAAATCTTGTTGAGGCGGCAGGCAAAGTCATCCTTCAACCCTCAATTGGTTTAGACGAGGGCATCCCCGAGCGAAAGATGTGGTAGGGCCGAGTTCTCTCTGGCAACACCCTGAGGCCTTTTGGTTTAGACTCTGACTCTTCCTCAGTAGGCAGTTGCTTTTTCTTCCTAGTCTTTTGGCCCACGATCTTCTTCTTCGTTGTGCGAGCGACCGCAGGCTGGGGAGCTTCTTCTCGTCGCTCTGTGGTTGGTTGCCTTTCGACACCGATCTGTATCCCTCCCATGGGGACATTACTGAAGGTCAATCTAGTCGGTTTAGTCGAGCCGATCCTGGGGAATGTGAATCCCTCAATTCTCCCCGATGTCTTCAGAACCCTTGGTGGCATGGTTGCTGTGTGACAAGAAATTGTGTCAACAAAGGAAGTTTTTTAATAATAAAGATAGAGTTCTCCTACATTGGAAGGTACTTACGAATTGGAGCTTCCAATAACGCTTCACGGCTAAAGAAACTGTATTTTCGTAAGTTGGCAGTAGTCACGAGCAGCTTCGCGTTGCAACTTTGGTCAGGCATTAGACGGAATGCCTCGATGCGGCTAAAGTCTACTAGAGCCGATAATCTAGTCATCTTGTTTCCAGCAAGAAAGTGAAAGGTGCGTTAACCTTACTTATTAAGGAAAGGATAAAGATAAGGGATAAACAATTTGGAAATTAAAGGGAAAACCTACTCGGCTTTCTAAATTTACAAACACCATCATATTCGAAGAATAAATATTTGGTTTCGTAAGCCCCAACGTTGCTAGGGTAACCAAATATCCCTCCCTCGATCGTCGATCATTTCAAGAGGTAATATGAATCCTTACCTTTACTTCTCTTCAAATAATAGGTGCGGCCAAGCTCCACAACTGTCAACTCACCGAGTCTATGTTCGCTACATGCGATATACATAGCGATCGCTATCGTATATGCATTGGGTGTCAACTGGAATGATGCAACCTTGAAGTGGGTAAGAATCAACCTGATGAAGGGGTGAAAGGGTATCGTCACCCCGTATTTGAAAATTGCTTTTGAGATCATAGTCATTTCCTCTGGAGGGTCCTGAGCAGTGTGCGACCTGTGCCGATAAACGTTTTCATTAATTGCAAACTAATCTACCGCCTTTTAAATTTCATCTGTAGTGGTTGCTAATAGTACTACATGTCCGGGACCCGCCGAGGTGCCCCGTGGCTGCGAGCTTATCCCTTCAACTGCTCTTACCTCAAATACGTCCATTGCTCTTAAAGTATGAAAATGTGTGACATGTAGAGATGACTCAGTCTCCATACGCATTGTCTCGTACGACGACTCATAAGAATAAAATGAAACCCTAGTTTCTCTCCTTTAACCCTAAAAAATCTTAAGGATGATTTCCCAAAGATATGTGGCCTATTTTTTAGCTCTTAAAAGCGTTCCATCTTAAACACTACCTGCAAATATGCATTGTGTAATCCTAGCAGAAATCTACTCCCACCATTACCGTGGAAAATTGAGTTTTTCTTCACAGAAATGAAAAAGAGAAAAGGAGAAGAAATTTTCTTTACATCTGGATTATTGGGAGTGAACGTTCTGTCGTAGCAACGAGTGCGCATCAACCGGAAAGAGAATGAATTGATTTCTTGAGTAGGAAAACGTTGTTTTCTCTTTCTGGAAATGCAAGTTCTGTGAAAAATGTGGAATGAGCTCATGGTTTTATAGGGAAGAAGGTGACAATTGGCTTCCCTTGCAAGCGACGTTTGGGCGGGATGCGTTCCTAGCCATTGGATGCGACCACGTATCGTCAATCCTCGTGAAGAGTAACCTTCGCGCTTCGTGGAGATCAATTGACATTTCCCTCTATTGGAGACACCAAATGTCGATGTGGTTATCTCATCCGCATTTAATGCGCCCTCATCCCTAGTTAGTAAATACGGATACGGCAAAAAAACGGTATGAGAATTATACGGGTATAATATGGTAAACGGTGAAAAATACGTTTATAAAAATTTGGCCATTAATCTAGTACTATAATCAAACTATTTTGAATTATATTTATTTATTGGTTAGAATTGGATTATATAGTATATTTATTTATTTGAATATAAGAAATAATTTTTATTTTACAACTAAATAATAGAGAGTCACATATTTTAATAGGCTGAATGACATTTTCTCAACCCAAAGTTTGGCGAATCTACATTTTCCCACCCATTATTAAAATTCTTACGTTAGTTTTAATGGTTAAAAGACATTCTTGTCAGTCTAGTCTGCACAAATTTTATTATAAAGTTAATATTATTTACAGCCCTAAAATACAAATAGATGGTAATTACTTTCATTAACTTGGAAATTAGTCACTTAAACTCCTATTTTTAATTTCTATTAAAAATTATATTTTTTATTAAAAATCAGGTTATTAAATAAAAGAAAAGTTAAGTTTTATAAAAATAATATAAAATAAAATGTATAAATTAATAAATAACCATTTTTAATAATTAAGAAAAAAAATATAAAAAAAAAATTTGCCCCAACCCCTTTTATCCTTCTCCCACACCCCACCACCACAAAATCCTCCACCCCCAATATTCTTTCATAATTCACACCTGCTACGCACCTTCCCTCATCCCCAAAATCTAACAACCCTAGCGCCCCACCTTCATCATCTTTCGAAACCACTACGAACTCTAGCAGGGCCACCTCCTCTAATTTCTTTTCTTCTTTCTCTTCTTTCTTGTTTTCCCTCTCTCACTATTAGTTTAATGTTTTCATGGATTTGTTCATTTTCAAGGTGAATTTGATGGTTGTTTGGGGCGCACTGCTGACTGCCGAAGAACTGAAGAAGAAGGACTGAACCAGATCTGTTTTAATTTTTTGTATAAACCCACCAAAACGACGTCGTTTTGGGGGTGTGAGATTTTGTTTTTTTTTTTTTTTTCAAAAATTCGCGAATAATTCGCGAATTATATGGGAAACCTTATTATACGCGAATTATACGACAGATTTTACAAAATACGTATACACGCGTTTTATACGCGAATTATATGGTTGTCCGTATAATTCACGTATAATACGCATTTTTACTAACTAGGCCCTCATCTGCATTTAATGCTTTCAAAAAGAATGTCGTTTCAGCATGACTTGCATTTAATGCTCATGGCTAACACTTATGGCGCAAAGACGTGTTTGTTAGATAAAGCTTATTTTATTAACCAAGACAACTGTCAAGTGCAACGAATAACATCTGAAGAGGTCGTTCAAAAAAGCACTCTTCCCCATATATCAAGCTCAGAGCGAAGTGATTTCCAGCTTTCGACAACAAAATACTCTTAAGAACTTTCAAGTCGCAAATGACAGATAGAGTTCGAAACACCTCAGTATAGCATCGGGTAGGATCCGACATAAGTCGCTGAACCTTTTGGGATGATCACCCAGGTTGCTTGTGTAACTCTCAAAGATCCATGTCGCAGCCTCCATTCTGTTCGTTGATCGAGTGGAATCATCGACCTTGTTTCGTTCAGGCTGTTCTCAACTGATAGTTCGAGTAGATGCTCTTTAAAACAAGTCAGGTCGCGGCATAATCATGAAGTTCTCAAAATTCAATTCTTGAACCTTAAGAATTGGAGAGCTTCTGTTATACCTAAAAAATCGAGGCTGATGCAAGCTTACATCAGCCAACGCTAGTTAGAGTTCAGGAAGGCTTTGTGCCCTCCAAGAGCTGCCACATCATCAAAAGACAGAAAGAGTATAGTTGTCATCAACTTAGCAGACTCGGGCTTTGTCTACGAATGGATGGGAGTCACCCACATGTCCAAGCCTTATGCGATTTGAAGATATATGTCATGTGATCAGCCAATGGGAAGCGCGGTAGGAATTATACTATACCTGCTCACGTGCAGAATTGTAATTATTACCCTAAAACCTTCTACTATAAATAGAGGGCTCCCCCTCTTATTTTCGGGATTCTGATAAGAAACCTACATTCTGATTGTAACCTTTTACTCTCAAAACACAGATAACATGTGAGAAAGAGACTGACTTGATATTTTCTCTGAATAATCAATCACTTGTACCTCTGCTCGTTATACGCGACCTTTTGTAACCTCATAAATATATAAAAGAACAGTGGACGTAGGATTCGCTTTGAGCATCTGAACCACTTTAAAAATCATCTTCTATTTACTTCATTGCATTTTTCATTCACGTGTAATTTCTAAATCAGCTTAGCACTTTATACGTGCAAATCGTTGGTGTCAAAATCAAGTATCAACAGGTTTAAACGATTTTGTTTCTTAATTCATCTACTAGGACTAGTATTTTGGTTTTATATGTGATCGGTTTTCTTTCTTTTAACATTAATTAGTTGAAGTTGACTTGAGATATTTCATGCATAAACTATAAAGAGTAATTAATTATACAGTACTCGTGATGGAATTATTATGTAATGTGTACACATATTAAACACGGGTTTATAATACTATTATTCTTAGAAGATTATTTTTGACGAGGTTTTTCATATAAATGATGTGTTATTTTGTTTAACTAGAGTTAATAAAATTATCTTCATTTGATACCCAAAATAATGATTAGTTTCTAAAAAAAATTAATTTATTGCATGGTGAGAAGTTATTCAAGGTTAGAAATTTATTTTTGTTTGACCTACCAAAACAATCAAAAAATTTCTTCACAAATTTCCACATCTAGAACATTAAATTGCAGTTTACTAGTACTACTTTTCAGTTTTCACATGTCCAACTTGTAAGAACTTTCCTCATTTCAAATTATGAAAGACTTGTTATACGGAAGTCCACACATCTGTAACATTAGACTGCAGTTTACTTTGAATTTATTTTCATAAATCAACACCTCGTTGAACGCTGAAATAAGAAATATATAATCAACCTTGTATTGTTAGATTACTATTTTAGGTAAAACAACTTAAATTATTATGTAAGAGTTGAATAGTGTAGTTAAATTTATGTAGGTCTATTACTTGAAACATGATTTCTTTTATCAGTTTAAGCTGCGAAGATCTAAACTTACCTTTAAAGATTTATAGGGTATTTGACATTACTCCAATAATATTATCTTATATTACTTATATTATTATGTTTGGTTATCAAGTAATCAAATTTTCCGATAATCTTCCAAAACTAATAGTAATTACTATTGATTATATATGTGTAATCTGAATACCACTATTTTCTTAGGTATTTGAAGATTATTTAATAATCTTAATTTTGTTACAATTTTACCCCTAACTATTAAAATTTTTGGAAAGTAATGTCCTTGTTCTTAACACAATTTACAAGAATATTCATGAATTATTTTATCTTTATACACAAGATTTTTAGAACATTATTACTCTTGAACTTGAACCGAATTACCCAAGACAAATGGTCGAATCTGGCCACCGTTGACCATTGACCGACATCGCTAGAACGGCGCATGACCAACCGGATATGGGACGGCCAAATCGATGACCATTAACAACCATATTTGGCTGGTCATGCGTCGTTCAGGCCACGACCAATCGCACTGGCGGTGGTGCTCGGCAATGGCTGGGGTGGGAAAGGGTGTTTTTGTTAAAATTTAAACTTTTATTGTAGTTGGGGTGTTTCAGCGAAATCTCAAATATAGGAGGTTAAAAAAATAATCCAAATAATAATAATAAAAAACGAAGGACAATTCATTAATCTATAAAATATACCTACCAATTTATTTCAATCTAACCAAACAAATTTAATATATTATTCCTAATCATTTTCAAGATAATTTATCTTCCCATTAATATAACATTCATAGTTTTATAACATTCTCTGAATCAAACGCACCATAATTCTAATGTCATGTTAAGTTATGTTATATCAATAATACTACTCTTTTGAAATGATATCCCAAATTTCTTATAGCAAGCCATATATTCCCTTATATGGCTTTGATATGTTAGTGAGAAGTTAAGGTGTTAAATAACATTTCAATGCTACATGAGTACATATCATTTGAGATAGAAATGAGAGAGTGCAAATTAAGACTACTTTTTTCCAAAGAATTAAGATACTTTGTTAAGGAAAACCTGTATCTGTGTACAAAATTTCTGGGAGGGATGATGAAGGTCTTCTTTCTATTTATTATCCTAAAACTTGGTATTACAACATATCTTAATGCAAATGGAATAAATCCCAAAACTTCAGCCAAATTTTCTGGGTTCCCTAAGTACACCACTTATTGTAAAATTTTAACACAGTAAACACTGAATTATACTAGCAAAAAATTGACACAGGCTGTTTATTTCAAACGTCTCCATTTACTGCAAACCATAAAGGACTCGTATGCCTTGAATATCATCCGCAGTCAGCTCTCTCTTTATCTTCCCGTATTCAAAATAATCATACATAATTGAATCCGGCTTTCCCGACTCATGCGAAAGCCCTAATAAGTGGCCTATTTCATGCACAGCAACCGATTCCAAGTCTAGCTCATATTGTCCAGGATTGATACTCCATCTTTCTTCTGCATCAAAATGGCAATCTCCAACCGTTGGCGCAAACGCATGCGCGAAAACTCCCTGAGGGCCATCAAATCGGTTATTTTCTCCATCTCCGTGGCTACCACGGTGAAAGCCAATCACAATATCAGCATCCAAATTTTCCGCGACTTCCTGGAAAGTGAAATGGCTGACTTGAGCCCATCTGTTAAAAGATTGTTGAATGACAGACCTCAAATTTAGTGAGGCGGGAACCGGCGCGCTAGAATCGAAGCGATATGTGAGCCTGGATTTGGACCATCTCCTTGGTCCAGGGAAATAGAATTGATAGTGACCAACTGTGTGGAAGCCGGACTTGTGATTGTGTTTGTGGTGGTTTTGCTTTGTGCCATTCACAAAATCTGCTACACCACATCTCGGTTTCATCATTTGATTCACTGTGTTAGAATCCAGACTTCCAGTGACATTCATATGATGATTTTGCTGGTATTTTTTGATGGCAGACTCCAACGTATCATCAAATTCATCATCCTTTTCATAATTTTTGAGGCGATCATAATTCAAGTATCCAAATTTCTGAAGATATCGTTTGAGATCATGCAGACCACTAATATTCTGGCCCTTGTGGCATCCTTCCAGATGTTGGATGAATCCAAAAGGGTTACCACTACCAGTTGATTTAGATTGAATAATGGTGGGCATTTATAAAGCAAAAAGAAGGAAAAATGAGCCAAAAAATAAGGAATTTCTGAAGGCCATTACTCTAATTCTTAGCTTAGGAAAGAAATAAGTAGATTGAAAGTGTATTGGTGCGTTTCGTCGATCTCTTACCAAGCTTATATATATACATTTTGATTCATGGAAAATTGCCTTCCAAAACCTTCCTGGTAGTTGCCTTAATTGTTGACGCGGGAGGCAGTCGTCTTTCAACCCTCTAAGACTGGTTTTCACATTTCCCTGTTCACACTAATAGAAATGGTTTTCACATTTCCCCGTTCACACTTATAGAAATGTGCAATTTCCGACTTGTACGAACTTTCCCCGTTTCAAGTTATCAAAGACTGGTTTTAGGAAAGTTCACACAAATATAACATTATTAGACTGCACGGCCAACGTCTCCATGGCCGCGACGGTCAAAGCCAACCACAATATTAGCATTCGAATTAGCACGTACTTCCCGGAAACTTTTTGAATGACAGACCTCAACTTTAGTGAGTGCCGTGGGGTGTGGGGAACTTGCACACCTAAAATACCGAAGCTAGGGATGATTTGTTAAGGGGCCAGTAGGGATTGGTGACCCCACTCAAAAGAATTTTCATTAATTTTACTTTTAGCCATTTTTTATTTGACTAGGTTATACTTGTATTGACCGCACTCATGAAGGGTGAACTCAGGTATAAAGTGTTAAATAGTTGTTATAACGGTAGAGAATCAGTTACTGNCATCATAATTCTAATGTCATGTTAAGTTATGTTATATCAATAATACTACTCTTTTGAAATGATATCCCAAATTTCTTATACCAAGTGAAATATTCCCTTATATGGCTTTGATATGTTAGTGAGAAGTTAAGGTGTTAAATAACATTTCAATGCTACATGAGTACATATCATTTGAGATAGAAATGAGAGAGTGCAAATTAAGACTACTTTTTTCCAAAGAATTAAGATCATTTTTTAAGGAAAACCTGTATCTGTGTACAAAATTTCTGGGAGGGATGATGAAGGTCTTCTTTCTATTTATTATCCTAAAACTTGGTATTACAACATATCTTAATGCAAATGGAATAAATCCCAAAACTTCAGCCAAATTTTCTGGGTTCCCTAAGTACACCACTTATTGTAAAATTTTAACACAGTAAACACTGAATTATACTAGCAAAAAATTGACACAGGCTGTTTATTTCAAACGTCTCCATTTACTGCAAACCATAAAGGACTCGTATGCCTTGAATATCATCCGCAGTCAGCTCCCTCTTTATCTTCCCGTATTCAAAATAATCATACATAATTGAATCCGGCTTTCCCGACTCATGCGAAAGCCCTAATAAGTGGCCTATTTCATGCACAGCAACCGATTCCAAGTCTAGCTCATATTGTCCAGGATTGATACTCCATCTTTCTTCTGCATCAAAATGGCAATCTCCAACCGTTGGCGCAAACGCATGCGCGAAAACTCCCTGAGGGCCATCAAATCGGTTATTTTCTCCATCTCCGTGGCTACCACGGTGAAAGCCAATCACAATATCAGCATCCAAATTTTCCGCGACTTCCTGGAAAGTGAAATGGCTGACTTGAGCCCATCTGTTAAAAGATTGTTGAATGACAGACCTCAAATTTAGTGAGGCGGGAACCGGCGCGCTAGAATCGAAGCGATATGTGAGCCTGGATTTGGACCATCTCCTTGGTCCAGGGAAATAGAATTGATAGTGACCAACTGTGTGGAAGCCGGACTTGTGATTGTGTTTGTGGTGGTTTTGCTTTGTGCCATTCACAAAATCTGCTACACCACATCTCGGTTTCATCATTTGATTCACTGTGTTAGAATCCAGACTTCCAGTGACATTCATATGATGATTTTGCTGGTATTTTTTGATGGCAGACTCCAACGTATCATCAAATTCATCATCCTTTTCATAATTTTTGAGGCGATCATAATTCAAGTATCCAAATTTCTGAAGATATCGTTTGAGATCATGCAGACCACTAATATTCTGGCCCTTGTGGCATCCTTCCAGATGTTGGATGAATCCAAAAGGGTTACCACTACCAGTTGATTTAGATTGAATAATGGTGGGCATTTATAAAGCAAAAAGAAGGAAAAATGAGCCAAAAAATAAGGAATTTCTGAAGGCCATTACTCTAATTCTTAGCTTAGGAAAGAAATAAGTAGATTGAAAGTGTATTGGTGCGTTTCGTCGATCTCTTACCAAGCTTATATATATACATTTTGATTCATGGAAAATTGCCTTCCAAAACCTTCCTGGTAGTTGCCTTAATTGTTGACGCGGGAGGCAGTCGTCTTTCAACCCTCTAAGACTGGTTTTCACATTTCCCTGTTCACACTAATAGAAATGGTTTTCACATTTCCCCGTTCACACTTATAGAAATGTGCAATTTCCGACTTGTACGAACTTTCCCCGTTTCAAGTTATCAAAGACTGGTTTTAGGAAAGTTCACACAAATATAACATTATTAGACTGCACGGCCAACGTCTCCATGGCCGCGACGGTCAAAGCCAACCACAATATTAGCATTCGAATTAGCACGTACTTCCCGGAAACTTTTTGAATGACAGACCTCAACTTTAGTGAGTGCCGTGGGGTGTGGGGAACTTGCACACCTAAAATACCGAAGCTAGGGATGATTTGTTAAGGGGCCAGTAGGGATTGGTGACCCCACTCAAAAGAATTTTCATTAATTTTACTTTAGCCATTTTTATTTTACTAGGTTATACTTGTATTGACCGCACTCATGAAGGGTGAACTCAGGTATAAAGTGTTAAATAGTTGTTATAACGGTAGAGAATCAGTTACTGCATCAGTTTAGTTTACAGTTCAATTAGTTAGTTGTTTACTTGAGTTAGTTACACCCTGAGTTAGTTAACTAGTTAGTTGAGTTAATTTATCTAAATGTAGTATAAATCACTTGTACAGTAACGAGAAGGGTATCAGTTGAATCAGTAAAGCAATATTTTTCCCCAAATTTCCTTCTGTTCACCGAGACTGAAACTCTTCAACATGGTATCAGAGCTTCAATTTTCCGCAATCTAAATTGAAAATCAGCTGAATCAAGCTTCCAATTTGATCTTTGCTAAGCTCGATAGAGCTTAAAATTTCTCAGTTTCTTTATTTCAAGCTTGATTTGCTAAGAGTTCAATATCGACAATGACATCATCCACTGAAGAATCAGTTGCTCCTTCGATCGATTCAAACTCTCCTCTCTATGTTCATCCTTCTGATACACCAGGTACTGTTCTTGTTTCTGAACAACTTATAGTAACAGAAAACTATGGATTATGGAGTAGAGCTTTGACTGTTTCTCTATGTGCAAAGAACAAATTAGGTTTCGTTAATAGAACATGCACAAAATCATCAACTCATACTCAGTTAGTGCCACAATGGGAAAGATGCAATTCCTTAGTGTTGTCCTAGATCTTTAATTCAGTATCAAAAGAAATTTTTAATGGAATTGTATATTCTACTGATGCTTACCAAGTTTGGCAAGATTTAAAGGAACAATTCCATAAAGTCAATAGGACTAGGATTTTTGGTATCCACAGAGAAATTGTTAATTTTACACAGGGAACAAACACTGTAGCAGTGTATTACAACAAACTCAAGTCTCTGTGGGATGAGTTAGATTCGTTAGTAAGTTTACCTACACTAGATAGTGAATCAGCAAAGGCATTCCTTGAACACCTGAATCAACAGAAATTGTTATAATTTTTGATGGGATTGAATGACTCGTATTCTATGGTTAGAAGTCAGATCTTGTTGATGAATCCATTGCCAAGTGTTAAACAGTCCTATTTTGTAGTACATCAGGATGAAAGCCAGAGAATTCTTGCTGGCATGAATGTTAATTCAGAGGTCACAACTGCACTTTATGCTCATAACAACAGTAAGCATCATAATCTAGGCCAAAAATATAAGGGTAAAAGACCATATATTGAGTGTGAGTACTACCATTTACTTGGTCATAAACGAGAGAGTTGCTACAAACTAAATGGGTATCCTACTTATTATCAGTTCATAAAAGGTAGAACAAATTCTAAGGGCAAGGTTTCTGCTAATCAAGCTCAAATGCAGAACATGGTCTTAGAGTCATCAGATGCTGGAACTGCAAAGGCTTCTGAAAATATTAATGCTCAAGTTGGTCCCGTTTTAACAATTGACCAATATAATCAAATCCTTCATCTCTTGGGAAAGGAAAATGTCAATCCTCCAGCCGCCAATCTTGTAGGTACCTTCATTGATTCTGCTACTGCTTTCTTTTCTTGCTTGAATAATGCCACTTGGATCATAGATATAGGAGCTACAGATCACATGATTAGCAATTATTCAATTTTGCAATCACCTATAGCTATAGAACCTACCACACAATCTTGTAGGACTACCGAATGGAACCAAAACACATATTAGACATATAGGTTTTGTAGACTTGGATAATGGTTTTTACCTTTCAAAAGTTTTGCACATCCTAGACTTTAAACATAATTTGCTGTTAGTCTCTAAATTTACTATTTCCAATAATTGTGCCATTACATTTTATCCTGATTTTTGCCTCATTCAGGATCTTTGCAGTGGCAAGTTGAGGGAGATTGGTAAGCATGACCAAGGCTTATATCTTCTTGATCCAATGTCCAAACATTTGCCAACTTTGTTAGATTTAAAGATTTTAAATAAGACTGCTTCAAATGTTTTGTATTCAAAAGATACTATTTCCAATGTTTTTCATTCGAATAATCATGTACCATCAATTTTACCATTGAATAAGGATGTTAATTCACATGTGTCTCTTTTATCTACAACTTTGCCTACTGCACTTGAGTTATGGCATCAAAGGCTAGGACATATCCCTTACAAGACTTTACAGCTTATGCAACATAAGCTGAAAATGAATTTTTCTACACCTTTTCACTATGATGTTTGTCCATTAGCCAAACAAACTAGAATTCCTTTTTTGCATGAAAATCCAATCTTGTTTCTTATGATCTCTAATTTATTCCTGTTACACTTTGTCTCCATAAGGAAAACAAAATCGGGACACTTAGTCTTCACCCAGTGATGAAGTTCGCG